CCTCTTTAGTCAAAAAAAATAAAGAAATAAAACAGAAGTTGAGACTAACAGAAGATGGCAACTGTTGTCCATAAAACCCAATTTTAATTACTGAATTGGTCAAATTGTCTCATCGTTCACATTAATTGGCTCATTTTAAGTAAGTGCTAAAAATTTGAATTTTTCAAATTAATTATTAATAAAATATTGCTTTTACATATTTTATAAGTTTTGTATGTTGGAAGTCCAGAGATCTCATTTTTCATTAAAAATATTTTCCCTTCTGAGGGCTGGCCCCGTGGCCGAGCGGTTAAGTTCGCGCGCTCTGCTGCAGGCGGCCCAGTGTTTCGTTGGTTCGAATCCTGGGCGCGGACATGACACTGCTCATCAAACCACGCTGAGGCAGCGTCCCACATGCCACAACTAGAAGGACCCACATCGAAGAATATACAACTATGTACCGGGGGGCTTTGGGGAGAAAAAGGAAAAAATAAAATCTTTAAAAAAAAAAAAAAATATTTTCCCTTCTGAAAATCATTTTTGAAAACCACTATTTAAGATGAATAAAAACTTTCAATGTTGGAAGAAATCCCAGACTGATTATGGCTTAAATACCTTGCTTTTCCCAGGACCTTCCTGTCTTTTTCTTTCTGGCCCCATTTCCGCCTCCTGTGACATGCAGAAAAACTACTCTTAATGAAGTTTTTATACCTATCATTTCTTATAACAGCATGGATGTAACAAAATTTAATTAGCATTTCCTCTGTTGGTAAACAATTACTTTGTTTCCAATATTTCTTCATTATAATGAATGCTATCATAAAGATATTCAAGACTATAAAATGTTTCATATTTCAGATCATTTTCTTATGACAGACTCAAAGTGGTACAGTATTGGGTAGAAACTACTACTAAATATTTCCTAAAAGACTTTTAGCAAATCATTTCAGTGGATAATGAGAGCCACTCCAAATAGGAAAATAAATACTATCTTACGTCATCTCCAACCTAATTCACAGAATAATCTCTGCCTAAGTCATAGCCACTCACCTATCAGATATTTGTCTTGTATTCCTTGCTCCAGGAAGCTTTCCGTCCCCCCATCGCTCACCCTGAGGCTGGGGTTCTCTTCCCTCCTGTGAGCATTCAGACCCCCTCGGTTTTAGCTTTTATAGCATTTACAACTGTTTCCGAATTGCTTGTTCATATGTCTGCCTCACCCCTAGATTGTATGTACCCACCAACAAAAGCTTTACCATTTCAGATACATTCCCTAGAACCTAGAACAGTGTCTAGCACAGAGCAAGGATGCTATATGCTGAAGTGATTAGTTATCTTCATTAAGGTAGTGAATACATATCCTTTTCCACGTCCTTAAAATTCATAGTTTTGAGTTGTTTTGATTTTTGTCCTACCAAGTACAGCAATGCCTAGCACACTTCACCACATATAGACATACAAAATAATAAGTTCTGAATGCATTAATTAACTAGTTAGTTTATTACTTTAGAAAAGAAGACACCATGTTCCAGAACAAACCAAATCTAATCAGATTTACTGTTTCAGCACCTGGGGATTAGAAAGAGATCCAGCAGTCAGGGTGTTTATTTGCCTACTCAATGTGTCCGCTTTCCCTCTTATATCTTTTGAGAGGTGAGCAATAATCACTACGAGGCTCACAGATGCACTGGCCTGTATAGCGCTCTTTCTCTCGCGTTACTTGCTGAAGCAAGGCCTGTCAGCAGGGACAAGAGTTTAGAGGCCATCTCTCAGCTTTCTGCTCTGGATCCTGCAGTTCAAGCTGTGAGAAGTTTTGCAGAGCACGAATACTGACTGGCACTCCTTGGACTGTCAATGGCCAGCGAAGTCACAGACAACAGGGAATGAGGGGTACAGGAAGCAGTAGGACAAGGACCTGAAGGAATGCCCTTTCGGGTAACTCTCCTTTAAAATGTAGGCCTTTGACACTTCTCTTCCTTTATAGTTATGTTTAAAACATGTTTAAAACCTATTTAAAAGAACTAAAGTAAAGTCAATGACTAGCAAAATGCAAATACACTTGAATGGAGAAAGCAATTGGATAAGAGCTAAATTCATTGACTTAAGCCAGGATCCTCCTCAAACCGGCTCCAGCACAATTCCTCAGGTTTATTGCCCTCTGTAACCCTAACATGCTCTGCTCTCCAGGCACTTCAGTAAGCACTCAGGATTCAAACACAAGTAAGACATGGACCCTGTGTAAAGAGAGATCTCCTAAGGGAAAAGCAGACTAATTTAGTTTACAGACTATCCTGCCCACCCCCACCCACCTCATCTCCCCTCAGGTGGGGTATTATAAAGTACACTGTGTGAGTTATGTTTTCAGAATCAGGAAGGAAAGAGTCTGGTTGGTAGATGTGTTGCAGATAAATTCTTCTTTCTGAGATTTACTCTTTATTAACTCTGTATTGGCATCAGCTCCCATTGGGGTAACCTCTTAAAAGCGAATGCATTTTGATTTTTAAAGTGGTGCTAAACCCACAAAGGCCTGTGAACACACAGTTGTGTTAAGAAAGAACTTCATCTAAGAGTTCTTATTTTTTAAGTCTGTCGGACACCTGAGGTGGCAACCTGGTTTTATAAGGAGGAAAAAAGAAAAATAGATGGCAGGAAGGAAGGAAGAAAGAAAAGAAGAATAGATTCAGGTTGAGATGCCTGTATTTTTGGGCCTGAACCTACTATTGTCTGTGTGAGCTTAAGGAAATCCTTTATTCTTGTTAGTTTCAGTTTCCTCATTTGAAATTATATGGTTAGACCAGATGATCAGCATGTTTTCTTCCAGTTCATTTTAACTTTACTTTGGAAGGAAATTTACTGAATTACATTTAAGACAATATGATACACAAAGCTCAATAACTCTTTGTTCTTGTTGTTCTGATTTTTGTTTTACTGTCATTTCTTAATTACAACATTTCTTTGAAAAAACCTGAACGAGTTGTGAAAGTCTGAGGTAAAGTTAATGATTGTCCACTGATAAGAGACAGTACATTTGTGTGCCCTAATGGTCATCAGAGGAGTTATCTGAGGCCATGAATGTTTCTTTGTTCAGGTGGGGGGGTTGTTATCGTGGTTGTTGTTGCATAAGCAACTGACATAAAAGTTCAATGTACCTCTTTCAAGATTCCAGTTAGCTTTTCAGGTAGAGGCAGGAAAGAAACCCCAGGCACCTCCAACCAAAATGAAGCCCATCTACTCCAAAGGCATGGTTAAGTCCTTGCTGATTGAGAATATAATTCATTTCTCAATATGGCTTTTTCTGGAATGATCCTAGAAACTTGTTTTCTACCCTTGGAAGATTTGCTCTAATAGATTCTCTAGTTAAAGAGCCCCAGCAGGTCCTCAAAGTCTTCCCCAGTGAGGAAATTCAAAAGTATGCTCAAAACTGGAGGATCCAGGGCCACTCTTCCCCATGAGACTGGAGAATCCACTCCTTCTCACCATCTCCCACTCATGGGAAGTTTGGAAGCAAAAAGCATCACATTGAAGCTTCAGATTCTTGTTCAAGACTGTGTGACACAAACATGGATGGTGTTGGGCATAGCTTTCTTATTGGAAGAGAGCAATTTCCTCAAGAGAAGGAGTGGAGTTTCAGATAGACTTGAAGTAGCTCTCCTCCACTCACCCCACCAGACCAAAGAGAGGAGATCCAGATTAAAAGTAAGGGACTACCCATACCTAACTTCTTTTGAAGGCCCTAAATTTTTAGATGTCTTTTAGGACCTCAGGTATAACCCATATTATTTAGAAATTTAGTAATTTTGTTCCTACATTGTAATTCCTATCTGAAATTGCACTAATCCCTCAATAGTGCAATAGACATATTTGCACAATTGAATGTGCTAGTCTTGGGGATACTGAAGGAATAACCACACTCTCCCATCTTCCCCTGGTTTCTCATAGAGATAAGGCACAAATGTATCTCTTGGAGTGCAAGTCAGTGATTGGTGGTGCAAAAGAGGAGCCCATGGTAAAGTTAGGAATGGTGGGGCAGGTCCATGTACAAGGGACCACTCCAGAGAGGGCACAAGGAAGAAAGAAAGACTAAGCACTGTGTTCATCATAAGTTAGAGGATACCACCCTCTGAAAGGGGAAAAATGAGGGATCTAGCAAACTACTTATATACACATATTTTTATTGTTATCATTATTATTACTAAAATTATGTGCCTCTGGTCCAGTGGCATAAGCCTATGACTAAAATATACATAGCCTGATTATCCAATGAGATACCTCAGCCTTCTTCCATTCCTCTCCTCCTTTACCTCTTCCTGATCATCATGCTTTTTTCCTTGCCTCTCTGGTACCTTCTGACATGAAGCTTTGCCTATTGATTTAGTTATGACTTTTCTACATTTTGTACTCAGATTAAGAGCTTTGTTCAGTATTTATGGTTTTATTTTCTTATAACTAATTGTTTTTACAATTGTATGGAGTTTTAAAATATTTTAATCTTATTTTTACCCCACATAATTTACTTAAATTTGTAATTAGGAATTCCCATACTAAAGGAAAAAATTAAGAGCTTTCCCATGTTTCAAGTAATAAATCTTAAGCCCTTTCTTTCCTCCAAGTTAACTCCTCAGAAGCACATAGAACATCTCAAAGCATCTCCAAGTCCGGTCTTAGATGGCACAAATAGGCGCCCTCTGGAGGAGGCTGATGGCTTCCTACTTAAAATCTATTCTCCTGGCCACTCTGGAAATTCAGCTATGTTCCAGGTAAAATTTCTCCACTAAGAAGTCATAAGTTCAATTCTCAATTCTCACAATCTCTAAAGCAGAATAATTTTATCCAAATCTCCTTTCTTCTGAATCTCTGTTATTGGCTTCTTCAGCGTACTGACTTCTTAATCAAAGCCTTTGTCGTGTCATACAAGTTGGTCTAGGAAGTTCTCAATTCTAAAGGAATGCTTCTCAGTATATTGGTCAGGATGAGTTAGGCCATGCTCCAGCAACAAATAACCCCACAATCTCAATTTTATAAGACTGAAAGTTTATTTATTGCTCACATCAGTGTGGGTTGGTCAAGTCTCCTCCAAAAGATGATCCAGGGACTCTCATTAGGTACTCCATTAGGAACACATGACCCCTGTAACTGCCAAAAAGAAACAGCTGGAATATGTAGTCTTTCTTAAAGGTCAGACGTAAGGAATGGGTGGCTTACATCATTTCTGCCCACATTCCATAGCCCCAACCTAACTGCAAGGAAGCCTAAAAAATATACCTTTCAAGTGTTTCCAGAAAGAGAAAATTATGTGGCATTGTAGCTGCTACAAACTATAATCCTTAATCCCAAAAACCAAACATGGAATTTCCTAACCACAAGCTCTATGAGACATATAATTACAATTTTTTCCTAACTCCGAAAAGATTTGGACATTGATTTACCAATCAATTGGTTGATTTTCCTAGAACCTAGCAAGATAGGAAAATAAATGTATTGATCCGTATATATAGACATACCTACCTTTATTTATCCTCCTATCCATTCACTTAACAATATTTCTCTTACACAAGCAAAAACATGTGTTTTGTAATCTGGAGGGGTTTTTTCCAGGTATCTTTAATTTTAATTATAATTTTATAGATAATTAAATATATACATATTTATAAATATAAATATATGTAAGATATTTTAATAATATGATGTCCCATAAAAGTATATATATTAATATATAGCATTGGACTATCTCAGTCATTTTTATAGTTATAGCTACTCACCATACTTCCCTATTGAAATGTAAATTGCTTCCAAAGAACACTTAAATGAGTATATCTTTGAATACACACGCAATCTTTTGAATAGATTCCAGGAGGCAGAGAGAATTGTTGAGTTCAGAGACTGAAAACTAGAGTTACTTCATAATGATGATAATTAACTCAACCCAGATGCCTGGTATACATTTTCTAATTGGTTTTATTCTGCCTCAATTGTTTAACTTAATTATCTTTTTGTATATGTTTTATTATAAGAACATTATGTAGCTTAGCAGACAGAGTATTGCTCATAGCAATTGTCAAGTCTAGAAGTAGAAATAAAAGCAAAGACTATAAGGAAAAGAAGAAAGAGAAAAAATAAGTTTAAAAAAGTGAAAGAGAGAGGGAGGGAGAGATGGAAGGAAGAAGAGGAGGAAAAGAAAGGAAAAATACAGGTAGATAAGCACACATTCAGAGAGGAAGAGAAAGGACTTCATAGAAAAATTAGAAGGATGTTTTCAAATTATTTTTCCAAAACTAGATTAGCACTGACATCAAAACCCAAGAAAGATAGCACAAAAATAGAAAACTACAGACCAGTCTCATTTGGAAAGTTAACCCAAAAATCCCAAGTGAAACATTGACAAATAAAATCCAGTAATATATTAAAGAAAACTTTTCCACAACCAAGTGAGATTTATGCCACAATAAATCCAATATCTAGATTTTCTAAATACCTCAGTATCCCCAACACCTAGAACAGTGCTTTGCACTTTGAGTAAATGTGTATTGAGTTGATAAGCAAATGCATGAACAGTGAAAACCTTTTAATATAATTCACCATATTAATAGATCCAAGGAGAAAAATTATGTGATCATCTCTCTTTATGCCAAAGAGGCCTTTATAAAATTCAGCATATATTCCTGATTTAAAAAAAAAAAAAAACGTCGTGATAAAATGAGATACTTCCTTAACAAAACTTTAGATAGATAGATAGGTTGAGAATCAGCTAAAAATCCATTAGAAGTAATAAAAAAATTCATTAAGGTGGCTCCTGCCAAATTACTATAAAAATCAATGTTTTAAAATAAATGACTAATTACAAATATAGTGGAAGAAAATGTCCAACTTACAATAGGAATAAAAAGATAAAATACTTAAGAATACACTTAATAGACAAAGTACAACATTTATATAATTGAAAATTTTAAATTTTACTAAGGAATATTTTAAAATTTTTATATAGTAGAAATATACATCCCATTTTTTAACACAGACGCTCTCAATATTGTAATATTCTGTGCTAAGAAAATTACACATATAATATAGTTTATACATATATATTAAGTGATAATGGTGGTAGAAAAGAGGCTTTGGGGGGACTACAATGTTTGTAAAATGTATGTGAAAAGATAACAAGACTAATCAGAAAATTTCTGAAAAAGAGTAATGAGTAAGGTCTAGCCTTATCAAATATCAAAACATACCATCCAGTTCCTACTGCAGCAGAGCAAACCACTCCAATACCCAGCGGGGTAAGATCACCATTTCATTATGTTCATGAAATCTGTGGGTCAGGAATACAGGGCACAATAAGGTGTGTTGTTTCTAGAAAGACTGGAATAACTAGAGGTGACTCAGCAGTTAGGGGCGGGAATCAGAAACAGCTTCCCTCACAATCTGCCCCCTAGGCTGGGATAACTGTAGATACAACCGCGCTGGAGCTCCTACATATGTTCTTGCCATAGGCCCGGTGAGAACATTCCACAAAAGAGCCACAAAAAATCTCATTAGATGAATTGCCTCTGGGAGGAGCAGATTAGATGGTAGAGGTGGGAAGAGGAGAAAAGGAGGCAATCAGGAATGAGAGTCTAGAATAAGAGGGAGACTCACCCTGTTTATGTATTAACTTTCAATTATTTAAAAAAAAAATAGCTAATATAAAAAAACTAGCTTAAATAAGGTTTTACATCTATTTATGATATATTTGATAAGTTAATTAAAACTTCAATTTGTGTTCTGCTGGATTTTTTTCAGGATAGTAGGGTAAAAAATATGTATATATTTCTTGAGGATCAGAAGCTCCATTTTTTTAACAGGAGAAGAATTATTACTTGGTTTGTTTGTTTTGGTGAGGAAGGTTGGCCCTGAGCTAACATCTGTTGCCAATCTTCCTCTTTTTTTTCCTCCTCAAAGCCCCGGTACATAGTTGTATATCATAGTTGTAGGTCATTCTAGTTCTTATATACAGGATGCTGCCACTGTATGGCTCCATGAGCGGTATGTAGGTCCACCCTCAGGATCCAAATTTAATTAATTTAATAAAGTTAATAGCACTATTTTCCTCATGTTTATTTCACCGTTGACTCTATTGCCTCTTGTTTGGCCCAAGTCAGGTTCTTAGCTCTGAGACAACTCCAATTACCGGCAACCTATGCACAGCAGTAAGCATAAGTAAAAAGCCCCTGAAAGACTGCTCTGTGAGCCTCAGGAAGGAAGCTGTGAGATCAAAAAGTCTAAGCAGAAAACATGTCACCGCAGATTCAGCTGTGGAGCCAAACTCACAAGATCAAGAATTTGGTGTCTTGGTATTGTCTAGTTTTATATATGAATGACATAGTCTTGTTAAATATTAATTAAATTTATGAATATCATTCTGTAGCGAGGTTCAGTCTGTATTTCAAATTTCTATAGTGATCCAAAGGAGATTATCACAATAGTGTCAACTTGGGACAAAACAATTACCTGGAAATCCTAAGTAAGCCCAGATACATCAACTACACGAGCTGGGAATGAATTTCACACCATTGAATTAGATATCAAAGTATCATGGAATTTCAATAATAATTTTGTCACTATGATGTCAAACCCTACCTTAGTGTGGGCAAATACAATTACTTCAGCCTCGAGGTCAATAAAAGCCACTTCCTCTGGGCTCTTCTTGGAATGAGGAAGAGAGTGAGCCATTCAGGAACTGTCAAAATCAGGACACCTCTCATAGCAACCTTCCTTCAATCTCCACCATTGTTGCCATCTGGGCCAAGAGCTCTCTTGTTCTATATTGTCCACTGTTGCATCTTGAGGCTAAATACAGCACTTGGCACATAGTAGGCAAAATGCCACATGTTTATCCATTGAAACTAATTGGAACATGATGAGAAAACTTTAGTTTTCTCAAGGGCAAGTCTAGTAAATCCATGATCTGCTATTGCCAGGAATTATGCTAAATACTTTACATTTACTATCACAGGTTATTCTCAAAACTCTGAAAAGCAGTACTATCATTTCCATTAGACAACTGAAAAAAATGAGACTTCGAGAGGTTAAGCAACTTGCCCAAACACACACAATGAAAAAGACAAAATTTGAATGCCTGCTCAAACCCTAGGCTGCTTCTCCACTCAGATCTGCGTAAGACAATCTACTATCTGTAATTCCACAGCCAGCCTTCCCCACTCAGGGTACACACGTTAAAGAGAAATGACAAGGTGACCAACAAAAACTACTAGATAACAAATTCATACGAAAGAAAACTTGTGAATATATATCAGGCCGTTTAGAAGCGCTAACTTTCCCAATCTAAGAACACCTGTGGCATTCTCTGGCATCATCCCACTAATGACTAACTTTTGCTCCTTAATTTCTAGACCAAGGAAATAAACATGATGTCTCTAGAACACTAGTATGAACATCGCTCTCTGAAATTCTGCCCTAGAAGGAGAGGTTGACAAAGGAAAATTGTCTTCCAAAGGCTTGTACGCTCATCACCTCTTATTTTATGGTCATTATTATTTTTCTAAACTAGGTTATACAAGGAAAAGAAAAATACACTTTTAAAAATTAATATCAAATAACTCTGATATGCTTTTCTGCATCATTAAAGGTCAAGGGCTAAATAACTACTTTCTAAAGGGTTTGTAAGCTTCTTTAGCTTCTTTTAACAAGAAAGCCACAGAAAAAGATTTCTGTGTCAGTTCCCAGACAGAAAGCTAATAAATTCCAGGGAGGAGATGGTCAAAAGAGACGCTCTAAGGTCTCACAGAAAGACAACTTCCCGTGGTTAGACCCAGTCTTCCTCTAAGTTGTAGTTTCACTCTTGTACTGTCTTCAGGTACACAGAAGAGTGGTCAAGGGCAAGAAGAAAAATGAGAATCTGCAGACTGGTGATTGACAAAGTCTTGTCTCACTTGACTTAATCTATAACACCAATTAATCTTTTGCAAAAGATTATTTTGATGCTTTCAATTCATTCTGAGTGACAATATTTTTGCATACACGTGTCTTTTTGTGTAACATTTACTGATGTTGCTGTTATGGGGTTTTAGAAAGGAAATGCTACTTGTCTCATTGTGTACTAATAAAGATCAATGCGTCTCAACTTTTTCCTTTTAAAATATTCCTAAAGGTGAATTTAAGTGGACAGTAAAGTTAAAGCATCCACTGCCTGCAACTGCTAAAACATCAATTATTCTGGCACCTCCTATTTATTGATAAAACGATATTAAATGGTGAAATAGAGCTCTCTTAGCATCCGCCTGCTTCCTACAACGTAATGCCGAAGCACTGTAGCCTTAGTCTGCTGCTTCCTTCTGCCAAATCCATTCTGCAGAGTTTCTGGCAGGAATGAAAGAACGTACCCGAGATGATTACTAATGTGTTAGGTTATTAAAAATTAAGTCCCCCAGAGCTGTCTTTACATTCATTCCCAGGAGGTCAGTCCAGGACACCAGAATTAAAGGCTACTCTTTGATCACCTTAACCTTAAATTGCCTCCTTCTGAAGGCTGAAGGCTGAAGGCCTGTCTCACGATCTGAGCATTTTAATGGCCGTGTAAATTACTGACTAAAGAAATAACCAATTTTACAAAGGGCAGCCAACTAAATCCATGAATAAATTAGGCTCCATGTTAATCAGATAGTGGACAACCAATATAATTCAGAATTCACTCTCTGCATCACATTTGTGTGGTTTTTTTGTGGTAATTGGCCTGGGCTGGGTGAACAGATTTTAGGACAGATGGATAAAAACCATAACAAAAATAACAACAAATTGCAAAGCTTCCCTAAACACAAACATCTGACATTTAGCCCATTTGTTATGCCCTAGGAAAGGAAGAAGATCCCAGGATACATATACAAAGATGTTCAGTATTCTCCTATATTCATAGCCAGAACTGCTGATCAGATGATGTAATAGAAATCATCAAACTACTTCTATTTCAAGATCTGACATTAATTGGGGACTTTGTGGAAAATTAGTTAAACTCACTGGCATAAATCTATTTGGTTGTAAAATTAGTGGACTTTACCATATCTTCTGCAAACACTTACAACTATAAAACTCCAAAATTCTATGATAATTTATTATGAAGCACATAATAGGGGAACTTTGTTTTGTTCACTGCTGAATTTGAGCACTTAGAATTGTGCCCAGCACAGAATAAATTCTCCATAACTATTTCTTGAATGAATATAGGCATAAATAAGCGTTTGCTGAATGAATGTGTTCATAAAGCATGTATCCTTTCAGTTTCTTACTGACTATATTATTATTTACATACAAGGACTATGTTGTGAAGAATTTTCTTAAAACTCCCAAAGTACCATGAGCTCAAGTCCATGGTATAAGAAAAGAAGTAAAGAGTAAGGAAAATATTTCCTAACTTTTTACTGCATAAAATACTTATAGATTCGTAAATGAGCAACCGCAGGGAGTGCAACAGATCAAGATCAATGAAAACTGGCGAAGCCTTGGGCAAAAGAAAAAAGTATACAGAGACTTTCTTAAAAAAAATCTGTGAATCTTTTGGGCAAACATTTCAGATTTCTGAGTTATCAAACATGGAATTAACAAATTTCGAGACTAGCTCATCAGGCATCCAAACTGCAAAGGAACTTACCCTGGCCTTGGGTGGGTCTCTGACTCGTTTTATCCACGTGCCACATATATATCCTCCAATTGGAAACTAGGAACATATGGTGACTGTAGGAGAAATACCTCTTATTCAAGCTGACAGAATGAGTTAATTGCTAGCTAAGTGAGTTGATCTTTTAAGTGAAATCACTTGTACTTGTCTACTTGAATGTTGGAGCATGCATCCCCAATGTTGGTTTGAGTAGAGCTGATGCCAAGCTTTTGTCGCTGGCAATAGATAATTGTACACTCAACTACTTGGAGCCATTTCTTGTCTGTGATTACAAAATCTTTTCATCTGTATAAAAGAGGATTTAAGAGACAGGATGGTAGAAATAATACGAGTAAAAAAGAGATGGGGAAATCTTGTCGAATTTCAGTGTGCAAAGACCTCATAGAGATTAGAAAGGCAAATGAGGAGACAGAAAATAATATTAATAAGCTCTCATTGTTGAGTGCCTACTATGTGCATATATATAACCCTCATAACAAGCATAAAAACATGGATATTATCACAGTCTCATAGATGAGAAAGTGCAGGCTCAGAGAGAGAAAGTAATGGCCTAAGGGCAGACAGAAAGTCAGAATTTAAGCTAAGTTCTATTTGACTCCATGTTCTATACTCTTGACTACATCAAACTTCCAAAAAAGGAT